CTGGCTCTGAAGTTTGGCTTTGCCGTCTGAGATGCTGGCGGTGGAGGGCGGCCCGCCGGCTGACGCGCTGGGCGCACACAGCACTTACAAGTGCACCCCGCCAGCAGAAATGCACCGTCTGGGACGCATTCTCTGGCCGCTGAGGGGGTGCAGTCAAGCGGCTCGGCAGGCCCGGCCTGTCCCCGGGGGCTTGACGAGGGCAGCAGGTGCACGTGCATCTCCCGTGTCCTCAGGGCTACGTGGTTTTGCCCCGCCGTTCCCCAAACTGGGTGCCAGCACTGTGTGGCTCAGGGGACTCCGCGTACGTTCAGGGGTTGCAGGGTTCCGTGGCTAATCAGTCCCTTCATATAATGAGCTCGGCCGTCCAAACGGCCTTCGTGTTTAGAGAAGCTTCTCGGAATGAGCGCGAGAGGTTCTGGAAGACGTAGGAAGCACACAGCCGCTTCCGCCTCTTCTCCAGAAACGCAAACCCTCCAGACCTCGAAGCCTCTCCCGGCACCAGTGACTGTCGCTCTTGTCCACAGCCCCGACGCGTCCCTGCTCCTGGACTGTGGCGAAGGCACGTTTGGGCAGCTGTGCCGTCACTACGGAGACCAGGTGGACAGGGTCCTGGGCACCCTCGCCGCCGTGTTCGTGTCCCACCTGCACGCGGATCACCACACGGTGAGCGGCGGCGGATGACGGGGCCCCAGTGGAGGGCACGGGCTGCCCGGGTCAGCGTGACCCCTGCACCGCCCCCCCCGCCCCCTGCTTGCCTTTCCTGCCCTTCCTCGCAGACGGCCCCGGCGCCACTTTTCCTCTCGCTGGTGCAGTCGCTCTGCTGGGGGCGCCGCCTCGTCCCTCCGGGCGCCCTGCTGTCCTGCTGCAGTGAGGCTTTGGCCTTCACCCCGGCTGGCCTGCTCCAGGGGGACCTCAGCCGCAGACGGGAGGCCTGCTGTCCCCGGGCCGGCTGGGTCCCCCGCCCCGATCACACCGCCCACGCAGCGGCCGATAGGGAGGGAGGAGGACTCCAGAACCCGGGCGCCGGGCGGAGAGCCGACTTTGGTCGTGGCTGACGCGTGTCCCCTTCTCCACACCCCCCCGGCCCCCCCAGGGCTTGCTGAATATTCTGCTGCAGAGAGAACGGGCTCTGGTGAGTGTGGCCCTCGATCTTCCGGACATTTGAGTTTGGTGGTTTGCACGTTCGCAGCCACACCTGCTCCACCCGGAACCGTTCTTGTCGCTGACTCAACGGCTCCGGTGTCCTTGTCTCAGGCGTCCCTGGGGAAGCCGTGTCCCCCGCTGCTGGTGGTCGCCCCGACTCAGCTCAAGGCCTGGCTCCATATGTACCACAACCAGTGCCAGCAGCTGCTGCAGCACGTGAGGTGGGCACAGGCACCCCGACCCCAACTCCGCCGCCGCCCCGCCCCGGCCCGACCACGCCCCCAGGCCGGCCACGCCCCCCAGGCCGGCCACGCCCCGGCCCCGACCACGCCCCGATGCTGACCACGCCCTGGCCCCCGACTACACCCCAGCCCCCGGCCACGCCCCGATGCTGACCACGCCCTGGCCCCCGACTACACCCCAGCCCCCGGCCACGCCCCGATGCTGACCACGCCCCTGCCCGGCCACGCCCCGACGCTGCCTTCCCGGGGTCCGGGGGCGCGGCGGTGGGAAGGAGTGAGGCCAGTGGCCGCTGCGCTCGTTTGCGTCTGTTCTCCGCCCTCTTGGCGGTTCCGTTCTAGTCTCGAGATTCTCCACGAAACCCTCGAGCTGCGGCTGCCACAGGGCGGGCCCCTCCTGTCCTGCGGGTCCCTTGCCACGGCCTGGGTTGGGGGGCTTGCTTTGGCTCTGCTCTTTTCTCTTAGTGACGGATTTGTGTTTCTTTATGGTAAGGAGTTTGGGCTTCTCTGGCCAGACGCTTGAACTCTGAATCGCGTTTTTCGTGTTTGCTGCGTAACCCTTGTGTGTCCTCACAGCCTGATTCCCGCCAAGTGCCTTCAGAAAGGAGCGGAGGTCTCCAGCCCCGCGGTTGAAAGGCTGATTGGTTCGCTGCTGGGAGCGTGTGACCTGGAAGAGGTGGGGGGGCGCCCGCAGGCCGGGGGGGGGCGGGGTGGGGGGGGTAGGGGGAGGGGGCCCCTGCACAGCTGCCCGCCTGCTCCTGCAGTTTCAGACCTGCCTGGTCCGGCACTGCAAGCATGCTTTCGGCTGCGCGCTGGTCCACACGTCCGGCTGGAAAGTGGTCTATTCCGGGGACACCATGCCCTGCGAGGCCCTGGTCCAGATGGGTAAGTAGAGGCAGCGGGCCGGGGAGGGGCTGAGGACCCCGGGCCCAGCGCTTGTCAGGCAGGGGACTCCACTCCACCGGCCGTGCTCATTATTCTCTAGGGAAGGACGCCACCCTCCTGATACACGAGGCCACGTTGGAAGACGGCCTGGAGGAGGAGGCTGTGGAAAAGACACACAGGTAGGGGAGAGCCCTGAGCTGCGGTCACCTGCTCCCTGCCCCGCGGGGACGCATCGTGCTCCCCAGTGACAGTGACCCGAGGCCGGCCGGCCTGCTTCCCCGCGAGGCCGTGGGGGTTTCTGCCTGCTTCTGCAGCGCTGTCTGGGCAGGGGGCCACCCGGGGCAGGTTTCTCCGAGTATTGCAGATACACAGACATCAGCTGTCAGCCACATCAGGGACCTGCCGGGGGAAGGAGGGCCCGGGGCAGCTCTTGGGCTTTGCTGGGACAAGAGTCTCCCCCGAGTGAGGAGCCACCTGCCTGTGCTCTGCTGCCCTCACGGATGGGTGGTGTGCCCGCCAGCGCTCGGCCTGGGCTCCATCTGGGGGCATGAGTGAGGAATCTGGCTAAGGGCGACAGAGGTGGCCTTCCTGGGGTGCACGGGGCAAGTCTGGGGGCCGGGGCCTTCCCTGCACTTGGGCGTCAGCCTTACGTGGCCCCTCTGTTGGCAGCACTACCTCCCAGGCGATTAGCGTGGGGGTGCGGATGAACGCGGGGTTCACCATGCTGAACCACTTCAGTCAGCGCTATGCCAAGGTGCCACTCTTCAGCCCCGACTTCAACGAGAAAGTGGGGATTGCCTTTGACCACATGAAGGTCTGTGCCCCGCGGGCCGGGTGGGGGGGTGGGGCGGAGACAGTGCTCCCTACGCAGGGTGCTCGGGGCCAAGGGTAGGAGGGTCTGTCCATGCCCCCTGGCGGGCCCACCTGCTCCAGGGCCTTCAGGACAGACTTGAGTCTTGGGCCGCTGGAAGTGATGGGGGGACTCTGGCCCACACCGCTCCCCCAGGCCCGTGACTGGGGGAGACAGGTGTGCTCCCCTCTCCTGCTGGGGAAGCCCCTCCGGCCTCCCTGAACAAGGGTGGGGGCGGGGTATGCCTCTGACAAGCCTGGTTTTCAGAGTCTGGGCTGCCTCTCTTTTCTGGAGGCCCATTCAGTGGGGCCCCCTAAGCCAGGAGTGGGGAGTCTGTGCTCCTTTCTTTTTTTTTTTTTTTAAAGATTTTATTTATTTTTTAGAGAGCGAGCGAGAGAGAAACAGCATGAGAGGGGAGAGGGTCAGAGGGAGAAGCAGGCTCCCTGCTGAGCGGGGAGCCCGATGTGGGACTCGATCCCAGGACCCTGGGATCATGACCTGAGCCGAAGGCAGATTCTTAACCATCTGAGCCACCCAGGCGCCCCTGTGCTCCTTTCTTGAGAGGGCTTCCTCCCTCCCTGGCCTCGTCCCTGTGGTCAGCTGACACAGAGGTGGGCGAGAGGGAGCTGGCGCCTGCCCCACAAGCAGAGGGCCCCCTCCGTCCAGCTCCTGCCGGGCCCTGGACGCACATCCTGATTCTGGGCTCGCCTTCCAGGTCGGCTTCGGGGACTTCCCGACGGTGCCCAAGCTGACCGCACCGCTCAAAGCCCTGTTCGCCGGCGACATCGAGGAGATGGAGGAGCGGAGGGAGAAGCGGGAGGTGCGGCTGGCGCGGACGGCCCTGCTGTCCAGGGAGCAGGCGGGTGGCCTCGAGGACGGGACGCCCCTGCAGAAACGGGCCCTCACAGAGCAGCCTCAGAGCCCCCAGAGCAAGAAGGTCAGGGCCCAGTGAGGGCGCGGGAGGGACCCTGGACTTGCAAGGCTGGCGTTCTCCACATGGCACGGCGTGGGCTCCCCTGACCTGGTGGGAGCCGGAGGGCTCAGTTCGACCGGGAGGCACCAGGGCGTGGGGGAGGGGGGGGTGTGCACCCGGGCCTTGGCGAGGGCCCCGCACAGGGACGGCCCTGCTGGACACCTCCTACGGCCGGTGCCTCGGGACGTGAGGCTGCTGGATGGAAGACCAGGGACAATTCGAATTCGGTACAGACCGATTTTTAAAGAAGTCACACGGAAAACTGGCCTGCCCACTCCCGAGGCCAGCCACATCCCCGAGCGCTGGGTGGTGGACAAGAGTCCAGGAATAGCCTTTGCAAAGACAAAGAGGCCGCTTGGAACCTGAGTGCCCTGCTTCATTCCGGTGCCACCTCGGAGCAGGCGTCTCCCTGCCCTGCAGAGTTGCGCCACCTGGTACCCGGTGTGACCTGCAAGCCAGCTCTGATCGCGGCCGGGGCCCGGGGAGCTGCCACCCCGCTGTAGCCTAGTTTTTGACCGAGTCAAGCCACGCCAGCAGGATCCGGGCAGTGGCTCAGGAAAACGCAAGTCTTTGCGCTATGGCAGGGGAAATGGGAGACTACGGATGTGCTTGCCCCATGGCGAGAACGAGACGCCCTCCCTGCCCTCAGAGTGTGGAGAGATCGGACGTCGAGCTGGCTCTCCTGCCCTCCTTTTGGGATTTAACAACACTGAGGAGGTCAGTGCTTGGAAATGGAAACTTCCCACTAATTAATTTGGTATTTATTTGTGAGAACACAGAGCTTTAAAAGCGCAGGCGATCTGGAAGACGCCTACCGAGCATTTTAGCCTGGCCCAGCTGTGACATCCGATGTCCTCCTGAGGGTCCCCTGCACAGAGGCGTGTCCCCAACACAAGAAGATAGGCCACGCTCAGGGATAATAAATCTATTTTAATAACATTACTTTCAACAACTATTTGTACATGTATTTAAAGGTAACTTTCGACCCCTGGGCTCCATTACAAATTGGGTACGGACCCGTCCTTGTCAGGAAGTGAGCAAAGCTGTTAACATCCAAAAAGTTGGTGAATCCCACCATCGGGGCAGAGTTATCTTACACTGTTGTCGGGAAAAATAATTAGGCCTTTAACTTTCTCATTGTACACCTATACATTGGTTTAGTTTGAATGGCTCAAATTAAACAAATATAGATTTCATATATACAAATATTATATCCTGTATAGGTATATCGGATCTATTTTAAAAGGATAAAATCGGAAAGAGTGACTTGGCATGCATGACCCGACTCTGTCTTGCTCCTTCAATCCTCAAGTGTGACTGGGCTCCCAGAGAACGGATGGGACTCCCCGAGGAGGAAAGGGGTGGGGGGGGGGTGAGCCGCGGCTGAGCGAAGCCCGCCACCCTGCAGGCCCGGTGGCCTCGGGTCCCCGCGGGCCACCTTCCCGTCCTGCGCATGCTCTGGGTAACAGATTTATTGCTAGTCCCCGTGGCCACCCGGGAGGAGAGGCAGGCTCCCGGCCCCCACCGAGCAGAGCCCTCGGTGGGCCGTCCAGACACCCTCAGGATCACCTTTTCAAATTCGGAAGTACAAAACAAGAAGGTGGGGACCGAAGCGCTCAGTCACATGGTCGGGAAAAGTAAAACCGTTGGGAAGTGAAACAAACTGGGTTTGAAACCATTGACTTTAGAGCCCACGCGGTAAGGGCAGCCTGAAAGATTTTTACACGGGCTGGCCCCCTGCCCAGCTTGTGCAGCAGGCAAAGGTCAGTGCCGGGACTTCTAGAATCCAGAACTCGTGCGCTGTAGGGGAGAGGTTGTGTCCCCCCCCCCGTAGCCACGAGTGGAACCAGGCCCCCCGACCCTCCTGCGCGCCTCCCCCAGCCTGCACCCGCAAAGGACCTTTCTGACACGGAAGCCCTCAGGCGGAGGGGGTGCCCCTCGGCATGGAGGCCGAAAGCGGATCAAAAGAGGCACAAAGTCAAAAGGCAAAGATCAAACAAAAGGCCAGAGTCCCACCCTGAGGGAACGAACGAAGTCTGCCCGCACGGGGGAGGGCGATCTGCACAACTCCCGCCTGGCAAGCCCAGGGGCGCTCCGGGGCGGGGCCCAGGTATGTACGCGAGGGGTGGGCGCGGGTCAGAGGGCGGTGCTCTCAGACTCCTCCTCCGAGTCCCTCTTCTCTGTCACCGAGTGTCGCCGCGCGTGCTCCAGGGGGCTCAGGCGGAGCGGCGGCCCGAGCTCTACGTGGATGGAGGGGATGTCAAAGTGGACGAGATCTGCAAGGCGGCAGAGAGAGAGGCGGCTGAGCGCGGCGGCCGGGCGCAGGAGGTGGTGGTGGCCGGGCCCCCTGGGCGGCCGAGGCAGCCTGCTGCACCACAGGGTTGGGGTTGGGCTGCTCCGCTCCCGCCCCGTGAGCGTGCACGACCCGAGCAAGCCAGTCGCATCGGGCCGGGGACGCTCGAGGAGCGCGGCAACAGCTCCTGGGCCACGGCCTCTGCGCACCCCCCAATTCCATTCCCGGGGGGGAGGCAGCTCAGGACAGGCGAGCCCACGGAGGACACCCAAGGGGTGGCGGCACGCTCAGCCTGTGGACGCTGGGGGAGCACGGTGGGCCCAGAACCGAGAATCGGACAGTGTCACCCCATCCTTGGCCTGCCTCGTTTCGGGCCCCACTGAGCCTTGCCGTCACCCTGGGCCCGGATGACAGGGGAGGCATTCCCAGAACGGGGGCGGCTCTGGGCCAGCCGGGGGTGGGTGGGCTGGTTTCGTCGTCGTTAGGATTTTTTTGTAAAACCAACATTCAGCCTAAGCGTACTACACCAGGTGGACAGACGGACATGTGGACGCTGCGCGAAAAGACATACAAACATGGAAGCTCCGGGACAAAAGGTCCTTCTGTCACCAGCCCCCCTCCCCCCAGTCCTCAAAACGTCATTCCTGTCTTCGTCCCGCCGCCTCAGCACAGAGACGGGGGTCCCACGCTCGGCTCTGCTAGTGACACTCCTCCATCCTCGGGGTACAGCTGCGGGCCTGTGTCCTGCCCTTTCGGCTGGGGCCCCCTGCCCTGCAGCGTTTTGCTGCTCGGATTTCAAATCTCCTGTCATGTAGGGAGAGTGGCCTCGGGCGGGTTTACCTTCCCTGTGGCCCCAAGGGGAATCTCAGAGCCGGATGACAGGTTTGAACAGGACCTGTCAGCTTGGATGCTGGCTGTTCCCTCAGACCCCTCGGGGAAGGCAACTCAGTCGCCAGAGAGCAGGATCAAGGGAGAGAGGCCCCCACCGACTGCAGGATCGGGGAGAGAAGCCCCCACCGACTGCCAGGGTCAGAAGTGTCTGGAATGAGACCTGTGGGTGGGCAGGCAGGGGACGCCCTTGTGTTGTGCTTGCTGCCCCAAGTGTCCACAGGACCCAGGGCTTAGCAGACAAGGACCCCTGATTCCCGCCGGCTTCTCTCCTGCACGTCCCTTGGTTTTAATCTTGAACACCTGCCTGCTGTGGCAGAGGAGAGGAGGCAGAAACCGGTGTAATGCTCCCCCCCCCCCCCCGATACTGAGCGAGGAGCCAGCCGGCCAGAGGCCCTGGGGGACACAAGCTCTGGCCTGAATCCTACCACTGGGGGTTCTTCAGGGCTCGCCCGCTGTGTTGGCCCCGAGGAAGGCAAGCTAGAGCCCACCTCTCAAAGGGGGGGGTCTGCCAGGACGACCTCACGGCCGCAGAGAAGCCGCTCCGACCCCGCAGCAGAGGCTGGCCCGCCGTACCCGCTGTGCCCCAGGACCCTCCTGGGGACACCTCCCCGAGCCAAGGCGTACGCAGCGACCGGGGCACCGGGCACCAAGGTCTGCGGCAGGCAGCCCGAGGAAGAGAGACACCACAGGAAGAGCGGACCTGGGAGCCCTGTGGTTCTAGGCCCCAGGGAGAGGGATCGCGGGGCTGACCCGGGTGCCCGAGAGCCAGAGGCAGAGGGGAGAGCCGGCGAAGCCTGCTTGCGGACTTCCTCCCCGTCTCCTAGTGCCAAGCCAGCCAGCCCGCAGGAGGCCAGTGATCCCCCCCGCAAAAGCTGGAGGAGCTCGGGGACCGGGGCGCTCCCCCCCGCCGAGGCCGCGTGGGGGGAGGCACGGAGCGGAGCTGCCATGCGGGGAGGAGGCCCGAGCCACATGCAGAGCCGAGCAAGCGCCGGGGCCCGGCGGGCTGGGGCCGCTTACCCTGAAATCCCCCTCACACGTATCCACAACTGCGGCCCTCAGGTCACACAGCTGCAGGAACACAACGACAGGATTCGGAGAAAGGCATAAACACGATGAAACGAGAACGTGACAATCAAGAACACCGAGTATCACGGTGGGGGGGAGGGGGTCACACCAAAGCATCACAGATGCTGCACCGGCCGAGACCCGTGCGGACGGACAGAACGACAGCCTGCTGCCAAAGAACACGACGGACACGCCACAGTGTGGAGGCCGGGGTGCTGGTACCACTCAAGGTCGGCCGTTCCGGAAGAGCCCAGCGGGAGGCCCCCCAGTTTCAACTCCCATGGCGTTCCCCCCTTTCTGTTCCTCTCCAGTGACACCCTGCGCTCCTTCCGGTGCTTTCAGCGTCCACGCTCCCCGGCAGCCCTTCCCTGGGGCGGCTGGGGGGCCCTCGGGCTGACCCGGGGTGACCCTGAGCTCCTGCCGTCACCGTGCCTCCGCCCGTGGACGCTCCCGTGGGAAACGCGCATCACCAGCACCAGGGACCAGCGACCAGCGGGAAGTGGTGCTGTCGACTCTCGGGGAGGAATTTCCTGAATATTTTATGAGCCTCGGGGTAGGTGTCAGCAGCTGTTCGTTCGCCATGAATCACACCCACAAATAAAGCAGCCGAACTGCCAGGGGCTGCCTGCTCCCCACAATATTGCAACCTCCTGGCTCCTCCCAAACACTCCAGCTGGACTGGCCTCGTCATGGGCGCCAGGAGCTGACCCCACGGGCTCACTCCCCCTTCCCTCTGACGGAGGGGGAAAGCCTCCCTCCTGCACAGAAACACGGGCCTGGAAGTACAATCCCCATCGGAAATCCCAGTGCGCCGACTGCCGAGGACCACACGGCCCTTCGGAGCACGTGCACGGATGGGTGCGGGCGTGTGCAGGTGATGTGTACTGTGTGTGGTGGGGCGTGCATGCGTGCGTGCACCTGTGTGTGCGTGCATCGTATCTGCGTGTTGCACGCATGTATCTGGTTGTGTGTGTGCGTGCAGCGTATCTGCGTATTACACACATGTATCTGGGGTGTGTGTGTGTGCGTGCACCTTGTGTGCGTGCAGCGTATCTGCGTGTTGCACGCATGTATCTGGTGTGTGTGCGTGCACCTGTGTGCGTGCAGCGTATCTGCGTATTACACGCATGTATCTGGGGTGTGTGTGCGTGCAGCGTATCTGTGTTGCACGCATGTATCTGGTTGTGTGTGTGTGCGTGCATGTGTGTGTGCACCTGTGTGTGCGTGCAGCGTATCTGCGTGTTGCACGCATGTATCTGGGGTGTGTATGTGCGTGCATGCGTGCAGCGTATCTGCGTGTTGCATGCATGTATCTGGTTGTGTGTGCGCGCGTGCATGTGTGTGTGCACCTGTGTGCGTGCAGCGTATCTGCGTGTTGCACGCATGTATCTGGGGTGTGTGTGCGCGTGCATGCGTGTGTGCACCTGTGTCTGCATGGAGCGTACCTGCGTGTTGCACGCATGTATCTGGGGGGGGTGTATGAATCTGGTATTTGTGTAGTGTGTGTGTGTGTGTGCACGTGCGTGCGCGGCATCTGCAGGTTGCGTGCGTGTATCTGGGGGGCGGTGTGCGCGCGCGCGGCATCTGCGTGCTGCGTGCACGTATCCGGGCCGCGTGTGCCTCAGCTGCTACCTGGGGCGACCCTGAACGGACGCGCCCGGGCTCTGCCGTCTGGGGACACGTGGCCTGCATCTCTGCCAAGACACGGTCCAGCGCTTTGTCTGCCTCCCTGAACGAGGGAGACGCTCGCCTGGCTTTAGCCACAAACACGCCCCGAGTCTCTACTGTCACGTGGTCACAGTATCTGGGGAGATGTTGCAAAAACGTCCTCTTTCTCCAACCGACGATCGGTTTTTGCCCAATGTGGTGTGTTTGTAATTTCACACTTTTACATTTTTCTGGGGCGGCGGGCCGGGGGTGGGGTGGGGTGGAGAATAGCTCCATCTTGACTTTTAAACTTAAAGCAAGACTAAATTTAGTAGCTGCGGGCTTGTCAATAAGCTCCTCAAAGAACCAAGGGGACCGGCATCTTTCCTGAAACCGGCCCTTCTCTAAACACTGCTGGAAATGCAGGTTTCTGATAAGGCTTATTACGTCAGTAGCAAACAGTGTCTGGCTCCCAGCCTCTGGGCTCAAGGTAAGGGTCTGTACCATTGTAGATGCCCGGACTCCACCCAAGGAGAGCCACAAATGCCTCACCTGCGCTTTAGACGCCGCCAGTCTGCGATCAGAGCCCCGCCCCCCGCCCCCAGCCTCTCCCGAAGCACCGAGCACCACCTCCGAGTCCTCGGTGCCCAAACCCCCGATTAGGAACAGAATCAGGACCCTGCACCGGCGGGCATCCACTGCGAGAAATCCCGAAAAGAGCCCTTTTGCAGGACAATCTGGATCCCGGGGCTGATGTCCACCGGCCTCATGGAGGGGGGGGGGGCTCCCGAGATGATCGTAGAAGCCACGCGTGGCACCACCCCGGGGCAGACAGACGTGCTCATGGGCAGTGGCACCAGGGATCCCGCCGCTGGGCACACCCAGCTGAGGTTCGTGGAAAACCACGGCGGCGCCGTGGCTTGGTTACCTGTCGACATGCTCTCCCCGGGGGCCATGCCGTCCAGCACGGGGTGCTCCGTGGACTGCGGACTCGGGGCTGGCAGGCTGACTGTGGGAGGCTGAGGGGGCGGCAGGGTGGGTCTCTGTCGGGGCTTGGGGGTGGGCCGAGATTTGGCTGCAGTGCTCGGGAAGCCGGCGGGGGAGGTGAGGGGAGGGGCCGCGGCCGCCGCCGGGGAGAGCTGACCGGAGGCCAGGGAGTACCCCTGCGGGTAACTCAGTCCGTAGGGCGATGGGGTGCTCGGTGGGGTGGGGGACAGGCTGAGCGGGGACGGCTGGCCGGCGGACTGGTCGGTCATAGCCCCCGGCTGGCCGAAGGGGACCTTGGGTGGAATCGGAGCCAACTTCTTGGAAACTGAAAGAGAAAACACAGGCACACACAAGGTCATGAAATGAAGCCGGCTGTCCCCGAGGCCCCCTCCCTCCGCTCCCCCCCTCGACCCGGCTCCCATGACAGCCAATGCAGTTTCTAAAAATTCACCTCAAACTGCAAGTTTTCATGGCTCCCCCTCTGCTCCCTAACCTCCCCTTCCCCGGATTGCTGCCACGATCTACACGGCCCTGGCCGGAGCGGAGAACGAATTTCCCGTGCACGGGCCGTGGCCGGCCGCCCAGTGTCCTCGCTTCACTTCGCGGTGGTAGAAGGTGTCGGGGGTACACGGAGGAAGGGGGAGTCGGTGACACAGGGCCCAAGAGGGACGACTGGAGTGGGGCGGGCCGGAGCGGGGGGAGCGTGGTGGGACAGGAAACGCTGGCTTTTGGCTGCCCCTGCCCACGCCAGCTCCTGGATCCTGAGAGAGCCACAGACGGCCAAGTCCTCCCCCGACTTCTCCGTCCCGCCCCGTCCTGTGTACCTGCCTCCCCCGTTTTCCTTTCCAGACTCGGGCCCTCTGGGCGTAGACTCTGCAGATGTATGTACTGCGGGCTCCCCCTCCTCATGCTGCCTTCATCCCCCTCCTTTTATTGACTCGATCGTGCGACACGATGACGAACACTTGACACCTTTCACTGACACTGAACCCGTAAGAATGACCAAATCGGACACCGGGACGATCCCGTCCAGGGGCAAACGTTCTGAGAAAGCGATCACTCACGTGTCAGGATTAAGCGAGGGCTGCTGGGCACGGCGCTAAGTCCACAAGGAACCGTCTTTTAGGTGCCCAAGGAGGCCTCGGGCACTCTTCTCTCCCAGCTCCGCTCGCCCTCCACCCCCCACGGAACAAAATCTACTCTAACGATGGCGCGTGCTCCCCGGGCTCCGTCAGCGTGCAGCATGGACAAGACAAGGACACGGGCTCTCCAACGCGGCTTCAGCTCCCTCCCTCGCCTTAACCACCCCGTGCCCTGACAGTCGATCTAAACCTCTGCTCCACAAGACCAAGGACGGTGGATTCCCAGGATTGTAGCAGTTACAAAGCCTCGTGCGTGCAAAAGCATCACAGAATCGTGACCCGTCCTATGAGCGCTTCTCAGCCATCGAACCCGAGGACCGGGTGGCCTCTCCCAGCAGATCGCTCACTGGGTGGGCAGCCGGCGGGGGCCCTGTGTCTGGAAGGGAGTCCCCCCATCTCCCCGCGGTGCCCTGGAACCGTGCTCCACGCCTCCCCTTCTGCCGCTCTGACTTTCGGGGGAAGCCAGAAAGGCCGGAACCGAGAACATATTCAAGCAGATGTTCTTTTGAGTTAAGTTCGAGGCTTGGTTTAAGAAAGAACGTAAGGTGGGGCGCCTGGGTGGCTCAGCTGGTTGAGCGACTGCCTTCGGCTCAGGTCATGATCCTGGAGTCCCTGGATCGAGCCCCGCGTCGGGCTCCCTGCTCGGCAAGGGGCCTGCTTCTCCCTCTAACCCTCCCCCCTCTCATGTATTCTCTCTCTCTCTCATTCTCGCTTTCTCAAATAAATAAATAAATCTTTAAAAAAAAAAAAGTAAGGTGAAAACAGACCGAAAAAAAAAAAAAAGTTTAAGTACACCGTCTGTGCAGCTCTCCGTTTACGAAATGTCACCGCAGAGCATGTCCTTAGCTTTGGGAAAGTCATTTCAGAGAGAATAACTGGGCCTCTGAGCGCAGGTTCCATAGCAGATCCTGGGTCGGGCGGCTCCTGGGTCAGTGTACAGACTCTCAGCCTTCCAGAAGCATCGAAGGCCAGCACTCCCGTAGCCACAATCCCAATTCCCTGCTCCGTGTCACCTTCTAGAAACAATCCCAGGGGGAGGCAGCCATGCCAGACCCCAGCACAAGACTCCACACAGCATCTTAAGAGGTGGCGGTAGGGCCTGGCAGGGTCCGTGGAAGACACGTGTCGTCGTGGACAATGAGGTCTGCACAGAGGTCTCAGTGTATGGGATGCAATGCCCTGCGTACCCGTCACCCCCCCTCCCACCCCCCAGAGCCCGCTGCTCAAGTGAGAGACACGAGGAACAAAGATGAAGTGGTCCCTCTTGGAGTTGGTTAACTGCCCAAAGCGCTTAACGCCAGCCCAGGGGTTTTTCACGAAGTCACACGGTCTCTCAACACCCACGCTAAGCGAGGGGCACGAGTGTCCGGGCAGCGTGAGAGCTGTCCCCAGCCAGAGACCCGCGTGAAGGGTCGCGGTGCCGTACCTTTCCGGAGAGTGTGCGGGCTCTGGTCGGGGGTCGGCTGACTGGGGCTGGCGCCTGCTTGTGCCCCCGGCTGCGTCCCTGCGCCGGGCGTCCCCTGGCTGGAGCCTGCACTTCCCTTCTGCCCAGATCCCGGAGAAAGCTCCTTGCTTTTCGAAGTGCTGGAACAGAAGCACACGAGACGAGTAAGCGCCCCCGAACTCCGCGAGGCCAGCGCAGCACCAGCCTGCGGGTCGCAATCCCACGTGCTCCGCTGGGCCAGCTCCTGGTCTGCCCCACGCCCTTCGGAGATGCTCCGGAAGAGGTGACTGTCCCTTCTTGGGCTCTGGGGACCTGCGTTCCTCTCCGACCTCCACACCCCAGGTGCGAGCGCCCTCTCCACGCCTCTGCCCTCTGTCTGCCAGGAGCCTACGAGCATCCCCACTGTGTGTTGTGGCCACGGCTCTCTGATTCCCTGACCTCCACGGCACAGCCCCGAGCAGGGGGAGGCTTCTGGGGCCCAGCCTGGTAGCAGTCCCAGCAGGTGGGAGGGTGAACACAGCCCCCCAACCCCGCTGTGCTCCTAAATATGGCCAGTTCAAGTCCCAGCCCCCCAGGCTTGGGGGGGCGGTCAGGGCCAATGGCAGGGAGGGCCTTTGGCATCCCTTGAACTGACAAAGGGACACCCTGAGTCACCATGTCCCAAAGGGGATGCATCCTTCACTGTTGCCTCTCTGCCAGGCATTGTCCTAAGGAGAGAGCACATACTCCACAGAACAGGGACAGCAAAGAGATGGCCAGCTGGTCACTCCCCGCCGTCCCCCAACACGCCCTCCACGGCAGACATTCCTAATCAAGCCCCAGATGTCCCCCCACCCCGAGCCCCTCCAAGGATTCTCGCTCTTTCTCCCACTTATGCTGGAGGCAGCCTGTAGCAAATCAGGATGAAAGCTGTCACCCTTGTTAGAAACCACCTGGATCCTGATGCCCTCGGGTATCAGGCATGGGGCTAGGGACCTAAATCCTTCACAGTGTGAAGGCTACCTCTTCCCCACAGAAACAGGCAGAGCCTATTTTGATCCCTAAAGTTATCCAGAGGCCCCAAATATTAAAGACCTAGAGATACGCCACCCCTTCCCGGCGGGGTACGGCCAGAAGGGCTGGGAGGCAGGGACCGGGGCTAGAACAGCAAAATCCAAAGTACAGCTGGTTTTCCCCAAGTGAAGGAGTTAAGGGAACGTCATGTTCAAGGCTGCGATAAGCTCTCTCCTTCTCAGGGTAAGCTTCAAACCACACCTGGGTAATCCGCCACCCCCCACCCCCCCGCCCCCACCACCAAAGCCATTTCATCCAGAGGGGCTGGAAGAGCGACTCCTTTCTCTGTTTAACGAAAAACAACTCGGGGGGGCAAGAACCTATCTTTTATTCTTCCTCAGGCCCAAAGTCACCAGGCACCCAGGTATTAAGGCCAAGTACCTATGTACCCTTCCCTCCACCTCTGCCACCATCAAAGGGAAGTTAAAACGATAAAAAGAAAACATAAAACAAGCAACAAAACTTGCTTCTTGTGGGATACCAGACTCTTCTTCCTTCCTTTGGATTGACAAGACATCTGCCCCGGGAGGTAGGGACCCAGCAGCTCGTCCTTCTTTTCCCACCCACCTGATGCGCTCCCCCCCTCCCCCGACCACCCAAACAGGTATTTACCTACTTAGCCTCGCTGCTCTCTCTCCAGCATAAGTGCAGCTGACCCAGTGGGGAGAGGTGGGGCGTAAGATGGTTACTAAGGAGCGCTACATGGAGGCAGCTTGGTTAGGACACACTCAAGGACAGGTTAGTTCTGGGGACACGTGACGCAGCGAGCTGGGGTGCGAAGGGGCAGGAAGCAGCGTTCGGGGGCAGAGTTAATGCCAAGCAGAGGAGTGGGAAGCGAAGGCTGAGCCTGGCTGGAGAGAGCCGCCAGGTCTGGATGGGGTGGGCCTGGGTGGAGAATGGGGAGGCTGGAGCAAGCCAGAGGGAGGGGAGGGCCTGACATCCGGGGGGTGGGGTGGGGGCGGACAGGAATCCAGCAACTGGAGGAAACATCACCTGGGCTGCAAATGTCCAGAAAACAGAAAAAACAAACAAAAAAACCAATGGAACACCCGTTTGTATTGGGAAGAATCCATGTGGGCAGACAAAAAGAATGGTAGAACATGGGCACCCAAGGGAAAGCCTTGGAGGTGGGCACCCCCAAGAAAAAGGGACGGTATGAGCAATGACAATGGCCTCTTAAATACTCTGAACCCACGGGTGATGCTCCCGGCTCATGAGTGAGTCTCTGGGCCACCCATCTATGACATTCTGGGAACACCTTCAGAGGCCGGGGAAATCCATCTTTGAGGGGCGTTTTCTACAAATATTTTTAATAGGTCAAATAGCGTTTAGCACGGGGTGTCGGTTGTAAGATGGGAAATTAGGATGAAGCCAAGAAGAGCGCAAAAAGGGAACCGTTGGAGATCTCCTATTTGCTCATTTCCTCCTCATCAGCCTCTCTGGTCCACAGCGATCCTTCTCTGCATCTCTGCAGGACTTGCTCTCCCGCACCTGCCTCTCCCAAGGGGACCTGACGCCTAGCGAGTGCACAGCCAGGGCCGGCGTCCTCGTGCCCTGAGCTGGAGCCATCAACGACCCGAGCACATCCATTGTCAGCTCCCCACTCCTGAACGCTGACTGTCCCATTTTCCTTTTGTCATTTCCCTACTTCATGGGGAAAATGCCTTCTACTCACTAAAAGAGGGGAGGAAAAAAAAAAAAACCCAACCCCGCAGTCCCTTCATTTAGGGAGGTAGTATTTGTGTGTGAGCGTATGTGTATGATAAAGATCGGCTGAAGGGGTCCCGTCAAGTGTCCCACTCTTGGTTTGGGCTCAGGTCCTGATCTCAGGGTCACGAGATAGAGCCCTGCATCGGGCTCCATGCTCAGCGCGGAGTCTGCTGAAGATTCTCTCCCTCTCCCTCTTGTGCTCTGTCTCTCTCTCTCTCTCAAATAAATAAATCTTAAAAAAGAAAAAAAAAAAGATTGGATGAAAAGGTTCAGCTTCCCAAAGCCTCCAAAATTTTTTTCAGCAGGACATGGAGGAATGCTGCCCCCGCTAACAGAACACGCGGCGGCCTCGGATTTTAAGTAGTTTTCCCACTTCTCAGAACTTGCTCCATTCCCACTTCGAGGATGCCCCTTCCGAGGAAGGGCCCCACGAGGCCCCTCTGCGCTGGGACCCTGTATGGCCATGTGCCCTGCTCCTGCGTCTGGTGTCTGCCTGCTGGGACGGGACTGTCTTAACGGCACAGACCCCGCGTTTTATCTCTGGATGGACTCCGTCCCCCATAAACATTCACTGAACTAGGGGTGCCATGCGCTCGCTCGCTTTCTTCTTCCCTGGAACAAATGGAAACACAACCCGGCATCACACTGCACGGGGCCCCGGGCCCCGAGGGACCACATGACCGCCACTCCTTCCCTGATTTGCGCCCGCGTAAGCAGGGAAAAGGGCTCCTCCGAATCTAAAGGTGGAGAGGAGAGAAAGGGAGAAGTACCGCAACCCCGCGTGGCGAAACCGGGAAGTCATTCCGGCAGAAGAGAAGGGGGGACAAGAGTTGGCAACTTCCCGCCCTCACGGCCTTAGCGAGCTGCCACCTTACACGCTTGCTGGGGGATGCTCTTCTCGGGAAGCCCGGGGGGCTCCACCCGACAATTCGGGGGGAGTTGGGGGGGGTGCTGGGAATCCTGGGAATCCCTCGCTGCGTACCAGCAGGACGCAGAGCGCCAAACGCAGAGGCTCGGGAACGGGGAGGGGACAGCATCCTGGAGCGCGCGGCCCCCCCGGCCCCGTCCCGCGTGCGCGCGCGCGCGCCACGGCCGGCCCGGCCCCGCTTACCTGGTGCGCTCGGCCCCCGGCTGGAGGCCCAAGCCCGACGGCGACAGCGAGGGCGCGGCGGGGCCGTCCAGGGGCTGCTCCGGGAGGGGCGACGGCAGAGGCGCGGCAAGCTCGGCGGGCGGCGCGGGGGGCTGCATGGTGGGCGGGGCGCAGGACGCCTTCCTGCCGGCCGAGGAGCCTCTTCGAGCCACCCAGGACGTGTCCATGACCCTCACGCCCATGCTGGCGAGGGACACAAAGACACCCGCTTACCCACGCGTGACCAGGAGCGCGCGCCCTCCCCCGCGCGGCGGACACATTCAAGCACGTCCGCCGGGAGAACAACAGCGCAGCCTCAGGACCTGCGAGTGGAGTCCAAGCTCGCCCCCAGAGCAGAATGCAGCCTCTCCGGGGGCACGCACTCCCAACCCCCGAGGGGGAGATGGAGGTGGGCAGGATGGGGGCGGGGGGCGGCAGCGGGGCAGCATCGCACTAGAACGTGGCACTGACCAGCGGGAGACCTCTCAATCCAAGTATGCGTCCTTCTTTCTTGTCACTTGGGGTCTAGGGCACGGGCCCGACTCAGGACTCCTGCACTAGCCCGGGGACCCTGGCCGAGCTACAATCTCTGCTGGCCACACCCGCGGGTCTACTCGGCAGGTAAGGGGCTGACCATGCCTATGGTCACTCCGGGCTGCGATTCGGTTTCAACCACGGAGACCCAGCTCCCGTTAAGTCGGCCAAGCAACCAAACACGGCACATCCACTCTCTCGCAGGGCTCACTAAACGCATGGCTTGCTTTGTTTTCAGAGACTGAACATGGCCTCGTAGCTACCCGAGGATACCGTACCTTTGGATTTTCCTAAGGCTGCAGGGACAGAAACATACAGATATTAGTGTAAAAAAAACTATGCCTTCCTTTGGACACCCAGGTGGTCTTGTCAAGGTCAGGGTGTGAGCGTGAGGCTTTTGCTGTGCCACGAATTTGATTCGATTTAGTTGGCCTCTCTAGTTAAAGGGACTCTTCTGCTTGAAGGGGTGAAGTTCCTATCCTTTATTCCAACGTGAATAGAGAGAGAAGCTGGAGAGCGGATACTGGTGTGTGTCGGGGTAGGGGTGTCGGGGGTGGGGGCGGAGAGGGTGTCCTAAGGGGGGAATAAAAGTCAGAACTAGCTGACTTCTGCTGGCTTCCAAGTCACATGATTTGGAAGCCTATTCTTTCTTTCCTCTGGTCTAGGAGCTAACTGGTACTGTGGTATGAAGTCAAGACCTTCACTGACGAAGCCAAGACCTGACCTTTGCCGTACCGAGGGAGACACAGACATTCGAGCAGGGAGGAAACCTTCCGGCATCTGTGTCTGCTGCGGATAGACAGGCACAGTGGGGTGTGGGTAGAGGGTGATCGGGTGCTTACTCTGCCCCACACCGGTCAGAGGCACAGAGCTCGTACACTATGAATTCTGCCCACCCAGCAGGGCATTTACCTTAGAGACCAGCAGCGAGATCCAACAAACCAACAAAAAAGGTGCAGGTTTGGAGATGAGCTGTATCGGGTAGGATTTGGGTCCTTTAAGGAAGCGAGCCATGGGGTACAGCCCGCAGTGAGATGGCAGTAAATGACAGCCTCCTGACACTTTTCATGTCCTGTCATTGTTACTATTTCTCACCTCCCTTGTATGGCTCCGAGGAGGCACCTGGGGAGTTGGGAGGCGGGGGTTCTGGGGACTGGGTCTCTTTCCAGGACCCACTAGTTCTCAAGTCCTCTTGGATCTGCAGACCCTCTGCCAATAAATAAGCAGGAGCTCCAGAATCACTCTTGGGGGCCAGGCAAAACTCGGGGAAAAGGTCCAGTTGCATCCCCTGACATTTAAAGGGGACTGCAAGGGACTATCAAACTACGGGCTTCCGAATTTATCAGGATGAAAAGCGCCAACGAGCTTCATATTCCACTTGGGGGAGGGAAGTGGAAGCACTTAGCTGCACTGGTGAGCGAGGATGACATGCATGCAAGATGTCCGCGATGGTGATCAACAGAAGGAGCCCTAGGGGATGTCGGTCTTACCCCATTTTCCTTACCCTATGCTCTTTCCATTCGGGGCTGGGGGTGGGGAAGCACCAGGTGAGCATGGGCTCCAGGATCAGGGCTGCTGGGGGATGCCTTCTACTTCCAATGGCATCTTCAAAGCATCAGAAAGCTCAGACACCAGGCGCCCTGGTGATCCAGTTTACCAAGCAAAGGGGCCAGCCAGGGCATGGGGGACACACTGAGCGAGACCCGGGAAGTACCCGTGGCAAAAATCAGCAACCAAGAACCAAGAGCTGAGCACACACTTCTGCTTTTACAAAGACACCGCTGTGCCGCGTGCAATCCCCACTTTCCCCGCTGAAACTCCTTTCTGAGGGGAGGCAGCTCCTCACGTTCCTACTGCACGTGCATCAAACATTCGCCGATCTTTTCGAAAAGCAGTACAAATCTTTACAAATCAACCACAAAGGCAGTGCTCTTGGGGGGGGACTCAACGCATATTTGCTTTCAGGGAAAAAAAAAATTGGTATAAATAAATGGAATATTTAAACGTTTGAATGTCTACATAAAACCCAACCCGAAGACAAAAATGGTAAAACTGCTTGGCACACTGCCGCAGAGGGGAAGCTATTCAAAGATGGGAGGAAGACAACCCAAAGGTTACAGAAGTTTCTGCTGTTTTATCACAGGCAGAAGCAACAGTTGTCAGAGTCAAGAAACTGATTGTGTTTACCAAGAGAGGAGTGAAATGGAAGTATAATTAATCAAACACTGTTGACTCCATCAGAAGTCACTGCCCAGATCTCTCAGGCCAGTCTGGATGTCCAAGATTTCCCGTGGCCCAGTGCTTCCTGGAGAAAACTTAGAGGAACTGGTTTTCAGACCCCTTCAGAGATGAATCCAGGGCAGAGCAAGAAGCCAGAGGCCGGGAAGAAGCTCTATTAGAAGCAAAGGGTTTGCGCATCGGGCTCCCTGCTCGGCAGGGAGCCTGCTTCTCCCTCTGACCCTCCCCCCTCTCATGTGCTCTCTCTCTCTCATTCTCTCTGTCTCAAATAAATAAATAAAATCTTAAAAAAAAAAAAAAAGAAGCAAAAGGTTTGGAAATTAATAAGCAGGAGGCAGGAGTATGTTCCAGAATCCTGGAAGGGACCTCAGGGCAAGCCTCGCGTCTGGCTTTTTCTGGGTCCTGTGGGAGGTGGGAGCAAGGAGGCAGGAAAGGAAGTGCCCGCATTTGGTCCTGGGATGCCTGTCTCCCACTCCTGTCTTTTAGGGTAAAGAGCCAAGGGGGCAGGGAATGCAGAGTTCTCAGCCACTCATCATTGGGATGCATGGAGGGGGGACCCAATGACAATTCCTACTGATGCACAATCTGCCCTGTTGAACTCCTCCTAGTCTACCGGAACCTTGTATTTGTATGAAACTTATCATACGACACACTTTGTAGCTTTCCTAACAGACGGTATCGGGGAATAGGTTCTGGAACCATCCAAGCCTCTAGACCCAGTTAAGCCACTCTTCATCTACAGAATGAAGCTAATACCTCCCATCCCATTTCCAGCATTGCTGTGAAGGTAATTTACCAGCAACCGAGTGGTAAGATACATTTAGCATGCTCTTGGACCCTTAACCTGGGGAAGGAAGCCAAGTGGCCACTCAAGGGGCCACGGTGATGGGTGAGGGGTGGGAAACACAGGGTGTGCCCTATAAGAAGTCCATCTGGCTATGCCAATGGCATTTTATGGGGTTGACAAGTTGGAGAACATAGAGAATCATGGGGCACATTCATGGAGGGAAGATAGAGGCTGGGTAGCTGGATTGTGAGGAGCTGGAGTGGCAGCTAGGCAATGGGGTGACCCCACTCCCTGTCCTGCTCACTCCAATGCTCCAGGGGAGCAGCACTGCCCTCTGGAAGGAGGGATTTGGGGTTTGAATCCCAGATTTTCTCATTACTGTGTGACAGGGATGAGTTACTGAACATCTAGTTTCCTCTGATGGTTCTCTGTAAAATGGGAATAATAGTGACTCCTCCTCCTTAGGGTTGCAAAGAACAAGAACAGTGTGTACAAATTACTAAGCACCTGCTAAGAAGCCAACAAGCAGCAGGCTTGATGATGATAATGCTCTGTCCTAATAGGTGCCAAGTACAGTTTTGTTTTGTTTTTTTGTAATCCTCACGGAGAAAGAAATAGATCGTGAACCTAAGCCTAAAACAGGCTGACAGGAGGGGGACAGAAGCATACGGTGCCTGTGAATCAGGCTAGCGGGAGATGGAGACACTGGGAAAACCCCCATCTGGGTCATGCCACCTGGGTTTACAGGATCTGCCACGAGACTGTCTTCCCTTCTTAACAAAACACCAAAGATTGGAAGGCGGGGGGGTTCTCTGGTAGAAGGGGACCGAACAAGAGAGTCCCCCTTTTTCCTAGCTTCCTGAGTCTTTTAGGAATCTGGTGAGATGGGCCACTGTGGGTTTCAGAGGAGGGGAAAGCATCCGTGGAGGACTCTAGGCTTAAGGAACAGAAAAACAAAGAGGGGGGGCGCCTGGGTGGCTCAGTTGGTTAAGCGACTGCCTTCGGCTCAGGTCATGATCCTGGAGTCCCTGGATCGAGTCCCGCATCGGGCTCCCTGCTCGGCGGGGAGCCTGCTTCTCCCTCTCCCACTCCCCCCTGCTTGTGTTCCCTCTCTCGCTGTGTCTCTCTCTGTCAAATAAATAAATAAAATCTTTAAAAAAAAAAAAAAAAAAAAACAAAGAGGGGATCCTCTTCTTTCCTGAAGTCTTACCGCCTAGCCCAGGGCATCTGCGCAGGAAAGAAGGGCCGAACCAGAAAGGTCTCATCTTGGCTGAAAGGTTCTTTGGGAAACAAAACTTATGATGGGGAGCAGGAGGCTCGGGCAGAAACGGCCACAACCCTTCACCCTACAGAAGGCCAGTCCTTCACAGTCCTCGGCCAGCCCATGTTGGCTTTGGTGTATTTTGTGCTTGCGAAACTAGCCCGATCGCCCGTGGGTGGGTGGAGATGGACAGACAGACGTTCATGGCGTTCTTAGCGTGATGGCAAAGGAAGGGGCCGGGCAGAGTTCCTCCTGGAGAAGCACGCCCAGGCATGTCGCTATCTTAAAAACAGGACAATGGCACTCAAAAACCTAGTCTGTGTCCTCGAAGCAGCTGACGTTTCCCACAGGCTGGGCATTTTTCTGAATGCTTCCTAAGTAAGA